TCTCTCTCTCTCTCTCTCTCAGATATGTGCTGTTGGCAGGTGCTTTAGTGTGGTTGCTTCTTCTATGAAACATCTATCGTCTTTATCTCCCCTCCTTTTTTTTAGTTTGTTACTCTCCTGTAACGTAACACCTATACTCCTCAGCACTATTTATAATATGACCTTACTGTGTTGCAAGTGTCATAAAACTCTTGCTAAAACTAAAAATAATCCTGGATGTCAAGGTCAGTGGTGTAGCAGTTAGGTGTTGCACTGTCGCACACAGGAGACCTGACTGCGATTCCCGAGAGGGGAGAAATTTTTTTACAGTATCTCTGTTTTTTTGCAGAGATGTTGTACTCTCTCAGCCCGGGCTGCCCCTGAGAGACAGGGTCGGAAGCTCGACTCCTAAATGATCAAAATTGTGTGGATGGGGATGTAAAAACATCTACATCAAAAGAGCTAGAAACACATCGGCACAGTAACGGTCACATAGTGCAGGGAAGATTTACAGAAGCGAGACAGACCAATACATGTATAATAGACAGAAACAACAGAGGGAAAGAAAAAAAGTAAGACCTACCAGAGGCACCCTCAAACCACCCACAGGTTATTTGTCGTCATTTCAATTTGACAGTCAACATCACATTGAATCACACAAGAAGAAACACTAGGTATAAAAAAACAGAAACATTTTAATTTCAGGAAGAACAAAAAAAAGCAATGACAATAACACTGAAGTGACACAGATCTAGAGAGAGAGACACATTGTGTCATTATATCAGTGACTGGTTCACACGTATCTGCTTCTCTTTTCTACACACTGACTGACTGGTCTTAACACACACACACGCACATACACACTCACTCTCTCACACACACACAAACAAACACACACACACATACACACATACACACACACAAACACAAAGTGAAGTTATCATTAGACCTTGTCAGGGGGCTCACGTGGCCTAGAGGTTAAGGTGTTGGCCTCTCGTTCAAAGGTCCCGGGTTCGAATCCGGGTAGCGACCGAAAAATTTTCTTCTCTAAAATTGTCTCCTTTCACCTCCTTTCCTGCTCTCAGGCAATGTTCTGTTGTCAGCTTTCATTTCCACTTTCTGCCTCCACCCTCTCACCTCCTTTGCCCCCTCCTCTGGGCTCCTGACTCTTTCAGCAGCCTTTCTACTGCTACTCCTTGGCTCCTCCTAACTGCTGTCTTTCTGCCACACCCCTGATCTTCTGGTAGGAAAGATCTACACCTAGCCTTCTCGGAAAAGGGCAAACAAACTTGGAGGGCCCGTGTGCAAGTTGCGCACGTTAAAGATCCCTTGGTGGTCTAAAATCGATAAGAGTAGGCTTCGGCAGCCACCCGGGCAAAATTCAAAATTTCCTACCAACTGAAAATATTAGGTGTGTCCCGCGCGCTCATATGACCTTATGCAGTTGCGAGCGCCGTAAAACACTTTACAAAAACAAACAGACCTTGTCATCATGCAACAGTCAATCTACCCCCCCCAAAAAAAAAAACCCAGAAAAAAAACAACCCAACAAAAAATCAACAACACACAAACACATACAGAAATAAAATGTACACATATATGTATATTTATCATTGAATCTTGTCATCATAGTAATCTCAAGTAAAAAAATAATAAACACACACACACACATACACACTCTCTCTCCTCACACACACTTACACACATACATACACACACGTACACACATACACAGAAGTACATTATGTATCAGTTTTGAGTGAAAATTGTTTTTCATGGTTTTGTTTTTGTTTTTATGACATCATAACGGTATCAATTTTTTTCAAAAAGAACAAACACCCTCCACATTATATTAAGTATTGAGTCAACATTTTTTCTGCCACCAAACCACATTTATACGTATATATTCCAAATAAAAATAAACCCAAAAACAAAATGAAATACATTTCACCAGTATCAAGTTAAAATGTTTGCTGTTGTTGTTGGGGGTTTTTTTAGTTGTTTTTTTTTATATTTAGGTTGGGGGGCGGGGGGAGGGTGCCATCAAACTAATCTTAACACAAAAAAGAAAATCAATACACACATACATACAAAAATACAGTGAAGAGCCGTTGGACCGTAATCTGCAAGACAGCTGGATTTTCCTTGCTTTAGTCGTAGTTTTTAGTTTAGTTCGAGATTGGTGCCTAGATTGGAACGATGATGCCGCAAACTTGTTGAAACTGCTCCCTTCATGTTTTTATGACATCTTTCCCAATTAAAATTTTTTTTTAACTTCCTAAATCCAGGTGTTTTAACGTCCCCATCAACACATTAATAAATTCTTTTCACTTTAGTAACAAGAGAATTTTGACTAATCAATAGTTTTCTTATCAAGACAAGGAAGACAAAAATCAGGAATTCATTTTTCTTTTGGATGGCTGTAATTTTCCGATAAACCGTTTTTGATTGAACGGATCTCCGCTGTAGCATACTGTACATGAATCAGTATCGATGAAAAGGTTTGGGTTTTTTTCATGTCATCACAATGACCTCTGCTAAAAGAGAGGAAAACAGAAAGAAAAACATGGCTCTATGTATATGTACAATGGACCACTTGAAAATGAGTCTTATTTATTAAGCAAACTGCTCTCAATACGAAAAATAAAAACCACATAAAAAATTACGTGTCAAATCAATACCGTGTCAGAAAGTCTGGTGCCCGTCCACTTGACGGTCCAGCGCAAGTCCTGCCTGACTGACCATGTGTTCTACCATCAGGCCTGCGCTTGGAACTTTTTTACTATCACTCCCACATCCTGATATATATCAATATCAGTAACTCCCCCACAGTGCCGGGTTCAGCGGTTAGTCCCATCTCCGTTTTAGCCTTTGAGCAAGGCAAATTTTTTCTCTCCCCCCCCCCAACACCCCAAACTACAACAACCAGCAAAACATTTTTACTACCATACAGCCAATGACACGCCCAAGCTTGAATAAACGCAGAGAAGGGAAATCACTGGTATTTAGTAGTAGTATTGTCGACTTATGGTACATGATTGGTCGACCTTCAAAGTGGAACAATTGTCAGACTGGTTCGGTGGTAGACCTTAAAGTACCTCAGTTCAGAAACATTGCAGTAGACTGTCAAATAGACCGTCAAATAGAACAGAAACATTGCAGCAGACTGTCAAATAGAACAGAAACATTGTAGTATACTGTCAAGTGAACATTCAGCAAATTAAATTCTAAATGTTTTTTTGCGTATAAGAATGATTTCCATCAAAAAGACCACACTAAGAAAAACACAATTTCCACAGAACCAGTAGACCTACCACACTACAATGGTTTTTTCTTGTTTTCACAAGTTCCCCTGTATACTCAGGAAATGTTTTGTTGAAATTCACATTTTATGTTGGAGAAAACAACAAGAACAGAGATACACAATGAAAGTGAAAGCACAATTTGGAAAAGTATTCAAACATTTTTTTCTCTCTCCTGAAAAATTTTGTTTTCTCCACTTAGAACAGTAAAACAGCTTGCCGACCATATATATATTTATATATATATATATTTATATAAAATATAAAAAAAAGACCAGGAAGAAATAGGAACATGTACCAGAACAGCATAGAGCAAAAGGTCTTTGTCGGCCGACAGAATACTTGTAATGGAAAAGAACCCACGCGCAGAAATACAGTCTAGCATGCACATTGCAACACTGGTCAGATGCAGAAATCTTTTCGTTATATCATAGAGAATTTCGCTATGTATATCTCTTACATACAAATAGCTGCGGACGAAAAAATTCAGGACCTGAAAATCTGTTCGCTATGTGCTTGTTACTGCGTGTTCCTATGTGTTCTGTATGTGCGTGTTCGCTATCTGTGTGTTCTGTATGTGCGTGTTCGCTATCTGTGTGTTCTGTATGTGCGTGTTCGCTATCTGTGTGTTCTGTATGTGCGTGTTCGCTATCTGTGTGTTCTGTATGTGCGTGTTCGCTATCTGTGTGTTCTGTATGTGCGTGTTCGCTATCTGTGTGTTCTGTATGTGCGTGTTCGCTATCTGTGTGTTCTGTATGTGCGTGTTCGCTATCTGTGTGTTCTGTATGTGCGTGTTCGCTATCTGTGTGTTCTGTATGTGCGTGTTCGCTATCTGTGTGTTCCTCATGTGCGTGTTCACAATGTGCACAATGTGCAGGCTAAACTATACATTTGAAGAAGAACAGATTTAAAATATGAACAAATGAATGAGTTTTTGTTTTGTTTGTTACATGGTTAAGTAAAGAGAAGCACATGGACACAATCATGGTCATTCAGTGCTGGGGAAAAGTACGACAGTCAGACAGACAGAAACAACAGAGGAAAAGTAAACAAGTAGGACCTACCAGTGGCGGCCTACAACCATCCCATGAATGTATATAAAGGTACCAATATCATATTAAAAAGTTGGGGTTTTTTCATATATAATCTCAATGTTTTCAAGGGAAAAAAAATAACATACACAAAAGCACATATGTTATAAAACCCAAGTAGAAAACGCACCGAAATACACATCAGGTCCATTAAAAAAAATTTTTTATGATCAGAATGCCTTAAACAAAAAAAATAACTCATACAAAAATACATGTACCAGCATTAAGGTAAAACATGGGGGTTATTTTTGGCCATCAAACTTCTCTAGGTTTAGTATTAGTAGAGTTTTACAGCACTTGCAACACAAACAGGTCATAAGTGCCAAAAATTAGAGGTATACAAGAAAGTAACACAAGCAAAGAAAAAGAGGAGGAGAGATATAGACATGGGAGGGGGGAGGGGGCGGGTTGGCCAACAAACTGCTCTCTAATTCTAGAGACAAAAATTGACACACACAGATATATATATATATGTGCATACAAATAGCAGATTTAGATTTTGTAACAATTTTACAGTACTTGCAACACGAATAGGTCATGATTATAGCAGCTGAAGATTGGTAGTGTTACTAAAGAGTAATAGGACAAGAAAAGAAGCAGGAGAGAAGAAATAAGGACGACAGAAGTTTGATAGGAAAGAAGGAGCAAATAGCCTACCAATGTCAAAATAAAAATTCTTTGCGTGTGTTTGACACATACTTCTTTTTAGAAGAAAGCACCACTAGCTTCACATTATAATAACAATATTAATAATAATAATAATAATAATAATTTAAGGATAATAATAATAATACTTATAAATTTCACTTACAATAATATAGTGCCTTTCCACCAAGAAAGAGCCCAAAGCGTTTGACAACAATACATAGATGAAATGTGTGCACAATACAATTCCAACCAACAGTGATCTCTCTCTCTCTCTCTCTCTCTCTCTCTTTCTCTCTCTCTCCCCAGTGCATGTTGGAGTACAGTCATATGTAAGGTATTTCTCCATGCTCTTTTTCCCTCTCATGATTCGTAGACCTACTTCATTGTCAAATAAAGCCCCCCACAGTAGGCCTATTTGTCAGGGCAAGCCCAGGCTGTGAAGGATACAGGATCCCAGCAGAAACACCAAGATACTCAATAAAAGTTCTCCCGACGTGGGAATCAAACTCAGGTCTCCTGCGTGCCACGATGAAGTGCCAACCTCTACACCACAGATGCCTGTCTATGGCTCCTCTCAACTCTCGGTTTTCCCACAACTCTACAGTCACTCTCATTCTCACTCAGTCAGGAAAAACTGCTGTACCACAAATTGCACACACAAAAGACTTTTTCTCTCAGGGAAAATTCTACCACAAATTTCACACATCTCGGGGGGAAAACTCTACCACAAATTTCACACATCTCAGCAAAAACTACCAAAATTTCACACATACCTGACATTTATCTCCAGAAAAACTGTACCACAAATTTCACACTCACTACTCACAAGATTTTTTAAAGTTCAGTTTTAGGGTAAAAGTTTTACAGTACTTGCAACACAAATAGGTCATTTAAGTGCCAAAGATTAGAGGTGTCAGAGAAATGAAGGAGGAAAGATAAAAACGACAGATGTTTGATAGGAAAGAAGGATCAAACAACAGCAGAGCACCCGCCAACCACCCACAAATCGCAATTCAAGTCTTTGGTCCGTAGAGCAGTCCTCAATGGTTGTCTTCCTCCTCCCCCTCAAACCTCACATTCCCCCAAGCATGCGTTGTCTTGTGTGTCCTTTTGTGTGTCTGTATGTGGCTAAACCGAAATAAAACTTCTTGTAATCTCGTTATAGTAAAGAAGTCAAATGTCGGACGTGTAGTTTTCCCTGCGTTAGCAATAATGTTACAATTCAGAATACACGGAAGATAAGACCCATGAAGATAAGATCCACGTCCATCCAGATATTCCCACAGAGTTCAAAACCTATTCTAGTCAATTGTCACATCTCCCATTGCTAGTACACAAGTCTCTCTCCTTTCAAGATGAAAGCAAGAGGGTTTCATTTTTATATGTGAATAAACTTGAGGTTCAGAATCAGGCCATTCAGTATACACAGTACGGATATGATAGAATTGTTATTTTTGTTACATGGTTTTCTGCGCGCTCCAACCATTCAGAAAGCACAGATCACCACAAAGGACTTGTGAAGAGGTGTACGGCTACCGGTACTTAACTTGAGAACACCTGCTTACCCCCCAGGTCTCTAACAAAAAGTCAACTGCCCTATTTGTCCATTGACACTCGCCTGGAGGGAGCAATGCGTCATCCAGCTCATCTGGAGAGAGCAATGCCATCATCCAGCTCATCTGGAGAGAGCAATGCGTCATCCAGCTCATCTGGAGGGAGCAATGCGTCATCCAGCTCATCTGGAGAGAGCAATGCGTCATCCAGCTCATCTGGAGAGAGCAATGCCGTCATCCAGCTCATCTGGAGGGAGCAATGCCGTCATCCAACTTAAAGAGTTCTTAAAACAGAATCTTTACAGGGATATATCGACCATTCTCAGCTCCCCCTCCCCCTCCCCCCCCCCACCCAAAGTATTGCACATAGCACTGATCGTCTCCTCACTGATCCTCTCCCCCCTCCGCCTCAAACCTCATATTCCTCCCTGCATGCAATGCGTTATGCGTCATGTTGTGCGTCTGTAGGTGACTAAACCGGGCAAACCCTACACCGCAAGCCTCGCACTTGTACCGTTTTTGTCCTGTGTGCGTCTTGTAGTGCGTCTGCAGATGACTGTTTCGAGCAAAGCCCACGCCGCACACCTCACACTTGTAGGGTTTCTCCCCTGTGTGAGTTCTGCTGTGGGCTTGTAAGTGACTGCTCCGCGCAAACCCCACGTAGCAAATCTCACACTTGTAAGGTTTTTCTCCAGTGTGCGTTCGCTTGTGGTCCTGTAGAGAACTACTGCGAGCAAAAGCCACGCCACAAACCTCACATTTGTACGGCTTTTCCCCCGTGTGTGTTCGCTTGTGTCTCTGCAAGGAGCCCGTCAGCGAGAAGGTCAGGCCGCACACCTCGCACGTGTACGGTTTTTCCCCCGTGTGGGTTCGCTTGTGTCTCTGTAGGGAGCTCTTCATGGTAAAACTGGCACCACACACGTCGCAGCCGTGGGGCTTCTCCTCGCCAGCTTGGCTCCTCTCGTGGCGCAGCAGAGCCGATCGGTACAGGAGGAAGTACGCGCCGTACAACTCGCGATTTTGTGCGTTGTCCACCGTGTCATTTATCAAGCTACTCACGAACTCGCCCCCGTCCGGGACACCATCAGCAATACCCTCGTCCTTTCCTTCCCGCGACGAGTCTTCCTCCACTTCCTGTGACCTGTCATCCTCGTTAACGGACTCCGCCGAACTTACAGAACTGACAGTGGGGACCTCGTTCCAACCTTTCGCCAAAGAACCGCCACCAATGATTGGTGGATTATCCAAACCTGCACTTTCTCCCGGACACTGCTTGCTGCTGTTGCTGCGTTTGCGCGACTTTTTCACCGAGCCGTCGTTACTCTTGAGCTTTTCCTGTCCACTTGCCTGTTCTTTATCCTCCTCGACCTCACTAGCAACGGCCGCCCGCTTGCTGCTCATTCCCTTCAGCTTTCCTATAATATTACGTAACCTGTTCGACTTCACAGCAGAAATTTTTGCCGAATTTCCCTTACAACGTTTATAGCGACAATCATCGGCTCCGCTGTGGTGGGAATCTTGGTCTATGTCGCTGGCTGGTAACACATCGTCAGCTGGTAACACATCAGCTGGCTCCCCAGAACCTCCATCCACGTCAACTTTCTGTTGTTTGATTTCTGTATCTTGTGGAAAAATTCCGCTTGAACTATCGTCTGCATGGCGTCGTTTCCTTCCTGCCGAGTAACTGGAGGCCAGCGGCGACAAATGCCCAGACAGTACGCCTGGAGGGGGGAGAAAACAATCATAATAATAATAATTATAATCATGATAATAATAATAATAATGACAATGAAGATAATAATGATTATAATAATCTATTTAATAATAATAAACACAATGAAGATCATGATAATAATAATCATAACAACAATAAAAATGATAACAGAGCAATAAAATCAATAAAGATTACTTCTACAGCATTCACTCCCTGGCAGCTCTAAGAGCTCCACAATATAATAAAATTAAAGAAAAAAAAACCTCCATGACTAACACAACGACACATTTCATGCATTCCAGCACTGGCTCAGTCAACCTATAGCAACCCTTTCAGATAATACACCAGCAACCCTTTCAGACAATACACCAGCAACCCTTTCAGACAATACACCAGCAACCCTTTCAGACAATACACCAGCAACCCTTTCAGA